AGTCCATCTATCTTAAAGTTGCCAAGGTTGAGAAACACTGGATTAGAGCATGTTCATCACGCAGCAAAAGATGAGGCCATCCTGTATCTGTTTGTGTTAAAAGAATCTTCCTCAAATTGCATTCTTTTCCCAGTAGACCTTGAAAGCTGTGCTCTTCGCCTATCTCCTGGCAGTCTTTTCCCTTCCTCCTGAGGATCAGGGAAAGTACATCTGGGCATGGGGGGAACATGATGTCTTCTCAAAGAGGAATGGCTCAGGAGGCCCGGATTACTAATCAACACCTTTTACTTGGTGATTGAATGAACCCATTTCTGTAACACCTGGAACTAACCAACCACCTGAGTTCACACAATCTATTAATCTACTGCCCTCTCCCCTCCAAAAGTTTAAACAATTCATGCTTGACATTTGGGGGGGGAACACAGCAATGGGTTTCCAACTGACCTGGCTCAGCAGTGACACTCAGGGCCAGCCTTCTTGACTCTTCAGGTCCTATCTGCTATCCTTGCAACATCTTCCATGTTATCCTGCCCTCCAGGACCACAGCCATATAATTAAAGCCCTGCCCTTTTCACATGCATGTACAAAAGGGTGTGTGTTTGCATCATTGCTGCCATATTGACTTTTTTGACCCCACTGCAGACCCCTGCCAGCCCTCTTTGCCTTTGTTCCTAATAGGATCCATTGATGTGACCATTCGATTCCTATCCTCCAACCTTTTAACTCTAAGTTTTAACTTCTAAGTCAGTGTTTCTCAACCTTGGCAACTTCAAGATGTGTGGACTTCAACTCCCAGAATTCCCCAGACAGGTGGGACAGAAATGTCATAAATGCATTTGATTTTCTTGCTGCCTTCATCAAGATGACAAGAGCAGGATCACATTGTCAAGTGTCAGCCCTTTGAGGTAGGAAACCAAACCATGAGTACTAACACTACCTTTATTGTAAGGTTACAGTAACAGAATCTTGTAAGTCTGAAAGTACCCTCCTTTACTTTTACTTTCCAGAAACTAGGGAGGGTCCCTTCTGAAATGCTTTCTCCACTCCCATTCCTTCTGTGGGCTGAGATATCACTTATCTGACCAGTGCCCTGGCTGCAGCTCTTCCTCCTGTCTCCCAAGGTTATTGTCACTGCCCATGTGAGCTCCGCCCCGTTTGTAAGTCCTAGTGACATCATGACCCACATGCAAAAGGCTAGGGCTTGCATTGCAAGATTGCTTTTCTCCTTCTCACCCCTCTTGAATGCAAGAAGAGTTAAATAAACATCTGCTTAGTCTTGGGAAAGAAGAGGGGATGAGAAAGAAAGTCAAGATAACCCCACTTTGACTTTCTTTGGTATAAGGTCAAGGGAAATGCTATCAGGTTTTCAAGATTCCGTTCTTATACACAGCAATAATAAAGTGAAATTCCTGTCATTCTTATGGTGCCGAGTACCAGACCTGGCCTACGTCAAAGGGCTGGCATCAGTCTTGAAAGGCAGATAGAGGGAAATGTATGCACAGTGGAAAAAGCAAGGCAAGCCTATTTGGACGAAGGTTTTAAAAAATACGTCCCTCCCCCATAAAGACACACAAGGGCACTGCGACCTCCGATCCACGGTCTTTATTTCACTCCCTAATAAATAAGCCTTGGTGTTTTTCTGGAACTGCAAACACATGGGATTATTAATACTGAACAGATCTACAAAACTGAAGGAAAGAGACCACCCCCCACCCCCCTTTTAATGGGGGAAGGGGAAAAAAGGGAGAGGGTCTGAAACCTGGCTTCCCAAGTTTTTGGGGTAAGAGAACACAGAGTTGACAGACACACAACCCCCTCTCCAGGAGGGGGCAGATTTCAATGCCCCCTCCTTGCCAGTATATTTGAAGGGCTTAGAGGCCCAGATTGGCAGTGAAACTTCACTTTATAGTGACAATACAGTTTCCTTGTGGGAAGGCAAGGCCCAGCTGTTGTTCAGGAGGCAGATGCAAGAATCTCCTGTGTGGCACACATGGCATGCTGCACAGGGTTAAAAAAAAATAAAACCCGGATGGCACCACTGGTCTTGACTGCACCCAGATACAACATTCCCTAAAAAGCACCATTTGGAGCATTTTGTACTAAATTATCTGTTTGTGTGGCACACTAAACCCAAATGCCTGGTTAACAAGAATGAACACTAGCACTTTACCACACTCTCGATAGCTATATACACTGATTGTTATCCAGACTCAAACATGTTTTCCAAACTCAAAAAAGGTGTGCCATTTGGGGTTTTGGAACACTTAAACCTACAACATGCCTTGGCTACAAAGTCCATTTTCAGTAAACCCCAAATGGTGACAATTTCCAGTTCGGACAACACACTAAAACAGTGTTTCTCAACCTTAGCAACATTAAGATGTCTGGACTTCAACTTCCAGAATTCTTAAAGTTGTCAAGGTTGAGAAACGCTGCATTCAGCTTATGTCTCTGGCTATGCGCAGTGGGAAAACAGTGCACTCTTTCATCAGCCTTTTGGATTTAGTGTTGTGTAAATACAGTCCATGAGGAGCAGAACTTGGCGGATACTTTCAGAAGTCAGTTACCATTCTGTGAAAAGGAGGGTTGGGCTGGACTCCAAGATAGCAAGGTTATGTGTATATAGAACTGCTGGTGTATGTATCTTTCAAGATTACAGGGACACTCCAAGGGTGACCCCTTGTTCAGAAATTTCTCTGCATTAATGTGCAACCAGCAAGAAAATGCTGTAGTCCAGCTCTCTGCTTTTCTGTGTGTGAAAATGCGGTCCTGAAGAGCTTTTACCCTATCAGAGGTAATTTGTTGAGAAGATCCCTTTTAAGAACATTAATCATCAGACCTACCAAGTGGTAGGAAAGATAGGGGAGGGGAGCAGCAGGAAAGAGAGCCAAGGAAAGAATGAACCCACTGGAGCCTCTGAATTGCTTTCTCCCCACCACCAGTTCATGATAGCTTGTGCGTATAAGAGAGAGAACTGCAGATCTAAATTCTTTGCTGTCCTCCGTACAGTATCTCAACTGTTGAATGAAGGGCAAAAGGCAGATCCCAGCTCCAGAGGCCATCCGCCGCCTAACATTGATCCCACCCTCCATCCTCCCCAAACAATAGCTGGAAAAAAGAACTGGTGCCAGGATACAGAAAATCAAGGATTCTTGGGGATCCTGGGTGGAATATAAATAGCACTGAAGGGGAAAGGGGTCAAAGAGAAGTCCCTGCAGGAACTGTCCCAGGAAGAATGATCAGAGAGTGATATTCCCAGCAAAACAGGTTCCACCAAGGGATCCACTGCTACCAGTGGCACTCTTGAGGATAATGTCCAGGTGATGGATCTGGCAAGGAACACAGTGCTATTTCCTCCCACCTCCACCCACAGGATCCCCACACTACTGGTTCAACAGTTTCTGGGATGAGTCTCAGGAGTCTTCTCTCCAGTAACTCAGCAACCTCCTCAAGAGAGAGGAAGATACTGTGGCTTCACTCGGGCTCCAACGGGGGCTCTGCCACCATGATGCCCTGCTGCAGCTTCTCAAGGGAGAGTTTCATCTGGTGGAAAGAGGAGAGGAAGTTATTCCTTGAAGAGGAAGGCACTGCCCCAACCAACAAGGAAGCTGTGGCTGGGTTCACACAACATACTATGCCATGTGTTGTTCAGCTGCGTTTTATTGGACAAGACAGAACTGGTTGCTTTCACAGAACACTGCCAAGCCATCAACCCAAGATATCACATGATGGCTCAATGTGTTAGCTGAACCCAACCTATGGGCATAGGTTCCATTAGTATTTTAGCACATGTTTGTGCACCATGTGTAGATGAGCCTTAAGCCAGCCTTCTGCAATCTTGTGACTTCCAGAGGTGTTAAACTGTATTGTTCATACTGTCTGGGGACTGTGGAAATTGTTGTCCAACACATCTTGAGGGAATTGGGATACTGAAAGCTTGCCTAAACTGTCACCATAGCAGTGCATAGTCGAAAGTGAGTCCTGGGTACCCAATTCAATATCCTACGATTTTGGCTTTTCCTTCTTTTTATTAGGGAAGTAAGGATGGGGAATCTGTGCCCCTCCCATCACTGGATCTGGTGACTCCCAGGATCCCTCAGAGAGGGATGGAGAGTCACAGGTTCCCCATCCTTACCTTGAAGTTACAAAAGTTGGTTTCAAAACCTGGTCAAAACCAGGTAGACAATCTGGTGCCCTCCTGCTCATTTGAACTTCAGCTTCCATCAGAACCAACCTGCTTGACAATGATGAGGGACTGTGGGAATGAAGTCCAATATCTCTTAACCTCTGTTGTGTGGCCAACATCTGATGGAAATTTCTGACACTAAAAGGGGCTTCTGGAAACCATGAGTTGGAACATCACTTCTCACACCTTCTATGAACTAGCTGGACTGGAAGAACATTCAAACTGCAGGGCTCACCTCATCCAGAAGCTCCACTGAGGCCTTCAGGATCTGTTTCCACTTTTGCACCTCCACACTGTGGAACTGTTTCTGCAGCTCCAGAATCTCTGCCCATTCCGAGGCTGTCTGTGGAAGTTTTCTGCCAGGCAAGAAGGAGACAAGAGTTCTCTTAACTCAGATGGATTAGCAGTGTGTCCACCCCTTGAATTCACGACTTTGCTGTGAATTATCATACCCATCACTAGCGTTTAATGCAGAAGCCAGTTGGCCTCCCAGAACCTAACTCCCCTAATTCTAAGGTGGGGCGAGCAACCTTTTGCAGTCAGAAGCTACATTCTCTTCTCAGTAACTTTTTTATAGCAAGCTAGGGGAATATACTAAAAACATACTGGGGAGTATTTTATGCCCATTTGTGTTTTAGAGGTGTGGAGGCGGGGTTATGATTATATTTTATAGACATGTAAAGCCTATCAGAAAATCAACTTGCATCTACCTGGGGTCTCTGGAGCTTCCAAGACACATGCAGTTCTTGGTTGGTCAACCGTGATGGGTGGTCTTCATCTGAAACCTTTTCCCAAGCACCCTGCCGAAAAAGGCAGGCTCCTATTTTTAGGAATGCTTCCTCAAAAGACATTCACCTGGTACCTACCTTACAGCCTCACCATACCAAACAAAAAACATTTGGTTTGCTCAAGCCTTTTAAAAACTGTTGGAAGCATTTTGTTGCTAGCTTTAATTAACTATAATTTTATGTACGCTATTCCTTACGATTATTTGTGCTGCCAATGATTTTCTCTTGATTACTGTACTGTGGGGGTTTTTTTGGGGGGGTTGAGTTTTATATTGTTTTACTGTATTATATTTTATTATGCTGGGAGGACTACAGTTATTAAAGAGTAATCAATTAATTCTATTTAAAAGAGCAATCAATTGATTTTATTGGCTATACACTAGCAATGGATTTCAGCTTAAATCCTGTCACTCAACATTTCAAATAATTTACTCAAATATTCATCACATATTTAATATACATTTATATCTCGCTTTTCTTCCAGAAAAGTGGTACCCCTTCTTTGTTTTATCCTAACTACTCTGTAAGATAAATTAGCCTGAAGAAATTGGTTTTCTGTCCTCCTTAGAGATAGACTAAGAGCCTGACTGGTTTATTTGAATAACAATATGCTTTTCCAGACATTAACCCAGATCCAAGCATCTTAATGTTCACAACTTTTCCCAAAGTTCTGCTCAAAACAAATTTTAAGTTTTCAGTTAATCACTGTTTAGCATTGGAAGAAGTTTACACATACAACAAAGATAATGCTTTTAAAATATGATGGATAATGTATCATCCTTGTTTCATATAGAGACAAACCTTGGTTTACCACTGAAGATATAACTCAGCAGGGAATGCAAACAATAATGGCTTCCTTTTGAGGGTTCCTGACATGCTTAAAAATATTTGGATAACAAATACATTTGTTATTCCACTGGTATCCATTTTGGCATCTGCTTTCTGCTTATTGATTTATACTCAGGCTTTCAGCAATAAGAGACAATCTTGTTATAATTATGACTACATTTTTTACATTTTAAGCACCAAGGTTTTGCCCAGTGAAATTGTCAAAATGGTTAGTAGGTTCGATTTAGAGTTCAGAAATGAACATTTAAAGTCATTATTTAGCATCCCATGTATAAATATACCTTGGTTATTTTAAAAACACCTTCATACTAGAGCAGTGTTCCTCAACTTTGGAAACTTTAACATGTCTGGACTTCAACTCCCAGAATTCCCCAGCCAGCATGGCTGGCTGGGGAATTCTGGGAGTTGAAATCCAGACATAGTTAAAGTTGCCAAGGTTGAGGAACACTGTACTAGAGGGAGGAAACTGCTCCTAAAAACTGTTTGGAAGTTACTACTGGGTAGAATCCAATCACCATAGGATTGGTGGAAGTAGGATGAAGGCAGTTCACATGATAGGAGTTATAAACATCCCTAATTCCCATCGTATTTCTGGGCCTACATTTATGCTGGGTCCACACAGCTGTAACAATATGATTTGTTTGGTTTTAGCTACCTGGGGAATTCTGGGAGTAATGATAATAAACTTTATTTCCAGTCAAAGGCCATATAACAGTTATAAAGTCATCCAGTATTAAAGGTGAGGAATTAATGGAATACAAAATAATAAAAGTTTAATGGCAAGGATAAAATGCCTGACACATCCACTCTTAGACCAAATGCAAACCCAGGGCCACCTACCAGGAATCACAACGGAACAAAATTTGGCAACTTTCCTAAACAGATCTATAGACGGATTCTCTAAGAAAAAATGCATAATCTCCTTTATAGACCAATGTTAAGTATTTAGCGAAGATGAGTTAATAAATCAGATATGTGCAAAGGGCAGCAAAAATTTTGGAGAGTTTGAGTCCATGTGGCTGGAGGAGTCCGAGGTTGTGGAATTCTTCTTAGGAGGCTAATTAAATTCTGCCCACTTTCATTTATTCCATACAGCATGGTGAAGCAAACTATAGCTGGACTTGGAAACACAGAAACATGGACTTCCATCAATAAAAATTTTTTAAAAAGACAAATGAATGGCTCAGTATATAGCCCAGCCTGGTACCATAATATTATTTATTTATTTACTTATTAATTGTATAAATAATATAAATTTAAATTTATATTATTTATATTTTTAAATTTATATTGGCTTATCTTCTAAGGTGATATAACCCCCTTCACTATTCTGATTGCAGCAGGCTAAAACGCTTTCTCTTGATATCAATAAAGAAATTATCTCGTTTGTTTATGTTCAAGTGGTATGCATCTTCACATAGGCTCCCGCTTTTGCCACGTGGCACCTGCTACATGTGCTAGACTACAAGGCCTATCACTCTAGCTTCATGTGGGTCTGGGTGATGGGCATTGCAGTCAATACACCTGGAAGGTGCCACACTGGGAAGACAGATATCTGCATAAATGCTGTTAATGGACTGATGGATTATGTGCCATCAAGTCAGCATCTACTGTTAGCAGTCACATAGACCTTCTCCAGGATGATCTGTCCCAACCTGCTCCTTCAGATTTTCCAGAAATGTACTCATTGCCACTGTAATTGAATCTATCCACCTTGCTGCTGGTCATCCTCTTTTCTTGCCTTCCAGTTTCCCCAGCATTATGAACTTCTTAAGGGAGCTGGATCTTCACATCATGTGTCCAAAATATGATAATTTGAACCTGGTTATTTGTACCTTGAGTGAGAAGTCTGGATTGATTTGTTCTGTGATCCATCTGTTATTTTCTTGGCGATCCATGTTATTCTCAAGAGTCTTCTCCAACATCAAAGATCAAAAATTTCAGTCTATCCTGCTTCTTCAAAGTCCATCTTTCACTTCTATATGTTGCCATAGGGAAAACCACTGCCTGCATAATTCTGATTTTTGTAAATATTGACTCATCAAAACATCCGAGTATCTTTTTCAAGGCCTTCATTGCTCTCCTTCCAAGTACTAGTCTGCGGCACATTATTTCTTGACATAAATGCTATAGTTACTTATATTAAACCAGCAGTACACTATCTTGAGAACATTGTTCTCCCTTTCCCTCAATTCAAACTGCATTTTGCCAAGATGTTTGAGAGAATACAGGGCCCCAAATCCATATTAGCTTGCATTAAATTGTCAAAATCTGTATTTAAGAGTAAGGAAATAAATCTCCTATTTTTCCCAGATGTTGTTGTCTTTCTCACCCATTGGAGAGCGCATATGTCTGCCATGACTCCACGGTTCGGGCTGTGTGCTCCAGAGACCACAGCCGGTAGAACAGCATCATGTTGAGGATGACAAGAACTAAGAGACTAGAAAGAAACAGAAACGAGTTGAAACATGAGGCACTCTTTCAGACCAAGGCGGCACCCATTTCCACCTGGAACGTGGTGGGATTTGACTAAAAATCCCTCCAGATTTCAAAACAAACACATCCCCTATGTCAAAAAATAGCATTCTCACTTTGGGGGATTCTGTAAAGAGTCAGAATTAGAATGGATGCTCAGTGATAATAACTCCTTCAAGATCATGGTTCAAATGACGCCATATAATAAAAACACATAGGGACTGAAATATCCTGATATTATAATTTCCCAAGAATAACGATATAGTAGAATAACTTTCCTACTGGCTTCACAGTTTGCCTTAATCCTGCAGTGATATATTTGGTTTTGGCTTAGAATGCGGTTGAACCAGCCTTTACAACGGAATAAACCCATGCTCTAATGCAGTGCATGAACTGGGTCTTTAAATAAGTAAGCAGTGACAACCGTGATCATATTGGAAACACATCAACGCATCTGGATTAACAGAGGAGTGAGAGAAGCAGCATCATGCCCATCATGCTGTCGTTGTGCAAAGGATATGAATTTCATAATTTGCAGGACATCGCTGTGGCTTATATTCGACATCTAGGCCTCGATAACGCTGCCAGTGCAAAAAATGAACTCAGCCTGAGCTAATGAAGGGGTCCGTGGCAGCCAGAGTAACTCCCAGGGATAATCTTACTATTTTTGCACAGGCAGTGACATTAACCTTGGATACAAATTTTGGTATCCAGGAAGTCTCATCTTCCTTCCAACGGCTGGCCCTCTAAGCTTTAAGGCTGAAATATCAGAAGCCCTATGAATGAAGACAGACGGGGAGAAAGCTAGCCCCCCCCCCAAGCATTTGCAAGCAGGCCATGGATGCTCTAAGTAGCAACTTGTCAGATTAATGAGGTGCACAAGAAGGAAGCTGTGGGTGGAATCACGTAAGGCAGATTCTTGAAAAGGAATCGGGCCACCTGTTTTTTTCCCCCTTTCCCTTTTAGTTTGGTGGGGAACACAGCTTAGAACAGGGGGACACGTGATAAGAGAAATGGCAAGCAGAGTGCAGTGCGGGGCGGGGGGTGAAAGTGGAAGACATCAAGGAAGAGACAGCCAAAGGGCTTAGGCAGAGAAAAGAAAAGGAGAGGATTGAAATGGCAGGATCAGGAAGGCCAATCAAGAAATCAGAATCAAGCCAAGGTTAATCAGCCATTTGGGACTGGGACTGAAAGAAAGAATTAAGGCGGGGTGTAAGATGCAGGTCTTCAAGGGAGGGAGGAATGGCAGGAGGGGGTTAGCTTGCAAAGGAATGTCCAAGGCAGTAGCAGTAGCAGCAACATGGCCAGCACTGGAGGGCTGTTGGCATACAATACCTCACACAGATCCTGTGCGGAGGCAAGAGAAAGAAGACAGAAGAGAGAGAGAGAGAAAGAGAGAAAGAGAGAGAGAGAGAGAAAGAAAGAAAGAGAGAAAGAGAGAAAGAGAGAAAGAGAGAAAGAGAGAA